TGAAAATTAAGCCAGTTTTGGAGAAAATGACTTAATTTTTAATTTTTAAAAGATTTACTCTAAAAGTTTGATAGTAACAATTTTGTATCATTTTTTTTAATTTTGATGACAATTTTTTATCATAAAATTAGTTTTTTTATTCGATTTTCTATTTCGAAGTTAAAAGAATATATTTTTTTATCTCTAATGTTTATAAAAACTTTATTAAAAATGTTCTCTCTTTTTTATTTGGCAAGTTTCCGTTTTCTTACAAAATGCAAACGGATAAGAAAAATATTTTTCCGGAAGGTTGTGCAACAATCGCGATTCATAAATTTCTGACATTTTATCTAGAAAACATAACTAACACTGCTCTCATTTATGAGAATATCATACATAATCTCTACCTGTTTGATCTTGCGAAAACTGGATAATTAGCGAATTTTCACAAATGAAGGCACGCTATGTGAAAAGAAAAGCAAAACTGGAAACAATTTCGAAAACACGCACGAAACACATCACTAATAAAATTGAAATGTCAATCATAATGTTTACTCATTGCCAAAAGCGTCAGAAATAATTTAAACAGCATAATTCGATCTCAGGAATTACATTAACATTTATATAAAATATGCAAATCTATTCTCTTTATTTCGCGAAAATCAGCATCGGGATATCGCTAGAGAAAGGAGAGAAGGGAAACAATGATTTGCGTGGGTGAGCTTGGATGAAAAAGATATGAGCGTAAATAACCATAGGAAAAGAAACAGGCTAGGAATGCCGACGCATTCGTTGGTCACTACGACCCCGCCAGCTTTCTAACAACAATCACTTTTATGTAACGGCCATTATTCGTCCCTTTTTATTACAACAAAGGTAAATACAAAGACGCGCAACTTTCGCCGCGTAATTGCGCCGCGGACGGTACGCGATTCGTACATTTGACAAATATTTCGTGGGGTAATAAAAATCAGAATATATCGACGAGTAGTTACATATGGGGGATAACCTTTCGGAATTATCCGATGAGGGACTAGAAGACCTCTTTGGCGACCAACCCTTCGTACCGGGTGGCACTGATAAATGACATCGCGTTTGAATCTACTACAAAATATTATATGTATCTATATGTGATAACGGAGTCATTTCAATCACCCTGTAGATGGTCGTCGACTGCTGGCAACATTGCGATCGGGTCCTAACAGTATCCTGGAATTCTTTCAGAAATATGAGAAAAATGTTTAAATATTAATTGAAAAAATTTAATTTGCTCCATATATGTCAGTATGTAACAATTCAAATATGTAATATAAGTTAATATGTAACAGCAGTATAATTGATTTTATTGTAAACTTATAAAATTTTTTCAATCGATATTTAAAGAAAAATTAACTAACAATGACAAATCTAAACTTTATTACAAGAAGAACTCCAGAATATTTTCAGAATAATCTATACGCGAATAATAATTAATGAAGAATTATACAATTACTCTCGATCGCTCTGTCTCAAAATGATCCGCAATATTTTTATAATATAATCCTTATTTTCGGTTACATTACGTTCACAATTCTATATACATAACGCAAGAAAGTCGCATTTTTATACTATATAACGAAATACAAAAGTAATGGCTATCTTTCAAGCATGTCTCGATGAAATCCCCAAAGAACACACAAAAGCCAACACAAAAAATCAAAAACATCAAAATGATTTTATTTTGATACTTAAAGTCAATAAACAGTCAAATTTTGTAACAAAAAAAAATTGTCATTTTGATGTCAAAATATGTTATTTTGATTTTTTCTTGATTTGTGTGTCTTGGATAACTGTACAAAATTATTTTTCAAATATTGGTTACAAATAATTTTGTAGGACGAATCAATTTCGGCGACTCTATGTAATATATATAATTATTATATGCATGCTGAAAATTGTATATAATATAATTGTCAGGATGCATAATAATTATTGTTTAACAAATTAGAGAGTTTATAATTTCTTCATTGTTCAATCGCTATTAAAATAAAATTTGATAAATAACAAGATTTTCTTTCAAGGAAAGTCTTTTTTGTCAAACAATTTTTTTACAATTTTTTTATCTTATATCTTCTCTCAAAGTCAAACTCATTTTTTTATTTATTTTGTATGAAATTAGAACACATTTTTATTCTTACACATTGTGTGTTATCAATTATGAAAAGAAACGAGAAAGTGAGAGGAGTACTGTACGAGCGGAAATGATCGTTTCGATTCGAAATAAGCGGAAGTTGACTCTAGTCTGTACTCTGATTCTCGACGGAAATTCAAGAGATTTGACGAAGGGCGATCGCCCTAATGGCAAATATTACACATCAACACACTCAACAAAGACTATCAGGAGACACGATAGTACCTCAGCGCTATACATAAATATATTTATATACATATAAATCATATAAATCGATAATAATTAGATATTTATTTACAATCGCAACGCGAGGACATAACAAAAGTTAAACTATAGCCTAAGAAAAAGAAAACATAGAACCAACAATTTCAGGTACAGAAATTAATCAATTATGTACAAATTTCACTTGTGATTATTGTAATTGGGGAAACGTCATAAACATTCGCGATACTTATTATATTCATTTCTTTGGATACTTAAACGAATGAGCTGTTGCCTGATTAAAATCCCGACGATCGAATTCAGGCTAATCGAAAAGTAAGCTCGGCGATCGGTTCGCGGTACGTATAATTTGTATACATACAGGTGTTCAACATTGCGGCAATAGCTCGCAGTGAACGTAAATTACCGGTTTCTCCAATTCCCCCTCTCCCTTCGGCTCTCTTTCTTTTTCTATTTATCTATCTCTCTTTCTTTTTCCGTCACTCTCCTCATATCATGATCGGCCACGCTTGATCTCGCTGATACGCATAACTGCACGCAAGAAGTTATATGCTGATTATATATTTTTAAATGCAAACAAATTGTCTATGATCCAAAACGATATTCGTGTAACAAATAAAGATGAAATCTACTCTATCCTTTTTCAAAAAATGTTCTGAATTGGTATACACAAGTGATAAAGAATACGATCATCATAAAAATTTCTCACCTCTAAATTGGAGATCTGTTTTTTTTTTTAAGAATGTTGTGAACTGGTGTAAACCGATCCATAAAGATCGTCGAAAAACTTATTGCACCAGCGTACATTATTAGTTCAGAACATTCTTCGAAAAGGAAAATAGATTTCTAATTCTGAGATAAGAAATTTCTATGACGATTATATTCTTTATTTTCACTTTCGTAAGACACGCAGGTAAGTATCAGTATCTCCTTTTTCTTTTACTTCTTTGATGGCCGATCGCGACAACCAGCAATTTGAGAGAATCAAGCACAGTTCGGGGCCTCGAGAGCGTGAAAATGAGCCTGCGCGCGCGGCGACTTTCTCTCGGCGCAAGTGTGACAATCATCGCCCACAAACAACAAAGTTGATTCTAATCTAAAGTGTTTGATAAACAATTAAATCAAGTTAGCTTTGCGTATCGGGAATGAGGATCATCGAGGAACTGATTGTCACCAAACAAGAGAAATTATAGGCTCTGATAAAGTAAATCAATAAATCGTAAATGCCTTTACGAGCGCAGGCTATTAGTGTATAAATAATTTATTCTATACAATATTGATAAAAGTATGTCGTTTCGATTCACGGATTGTCTTGAGAACATTTTAATTAGGCGAATATCTAAAAAATTAATTACTGTTATTAATAAGAGCCAGATAAAACATAAAATCATAATAAGATCAAAATAACATCAAATATAGGATCAGCAAAAGTTATAGAAAGTAACTTCGGAATGCACTCATGAATTCGACATTAACTTGTCACTAACTTTAACATGTGTCATCTTGAAATTGTGAAATTTAATATAATGTGCGATATGGAGCGATACAACATCAAACTACGCGAAAAAATTTTATGGAAATTGGCGGAATGTGATCAAAATTACATTCCGAAAACGTGATTATTTTAGATAGCAAAATCGTCCAACAGAGCACATCATCATCGCAGTGAAGAAATTCGAGGAATCGGTATAAGATATACAAAAATACCAATATGTGAACATCCAGTCCATCGCTGAGATTGAGCTGGTAATGTCAAAATGACATAAAAAATTTCATCAAGCGTATCAGAGTGCAAAAAGGGGGATGGTCATCCTGGTTCGGCTATCCTGTTCAAATAATTTTGTCATAATCTACTAAAGATATTTTGTCGAATGAAAAAGGATTCTGTCAAAAATTGTGTGTTTTATTTAAGAAAAACTTTGTATAACTCTTATTAAACTCTGCAGAAGTCATTTTAGGAAAAATCATAATGATGTTATTCGATACATTTTTTATTTTACAATGAATTTTTGACATCTCTCTCTCTCTCTCTCTCTCTCTCTCTCTCTCTTATTGTGATTTTTTATTATGATATTTATTATGATTTTTCTTAAAATAACTTTCTTGATGAACTTTCTTTTGATTTTATTACGATTTTGTGTTCTATTTGAGAGGGACTTTCGCAAACTTTGATGATTTTAATATTTATTGATTTATCAGTCACGCGATAGAAACGGAAATCAGTCATGATTTTTGGGTTTTTATGTTATTTACCACAGTTTGTTCGATTGGAAAATATTTTCTAAAAATATTTTACACTAGCTACAAAAACCGACATAATTTATGAAAATTTATGCTGAGAGGAAGATATAAGAAATAATTGAGTAATTACTCCGTCTTTTTGAGTTCGCTACTTCATTTTCAAGACGTGAATTTGAGGATATATTAATTCTTAACTCTCTAATAATAAGATGAGGTTGGACTAACTCTAATAATAAGATGTGACTTCTATTTTACAACGCACATTTTATATTGTTAATAGAAGAACAGATTTTGTATTATATTATTTAACTTCTTTTACACATTTTGTATATTATATTTAAAAAATAAACAAAATATCAAAATATATCCAATTCTACTTTCCCTCATATTGAAAATCTTATTAGAGAGTTAAGCTCTGAAATGTCCTGAAAGAACGATTCACTAGTTGCATTCACTTTAAATAATGTTTCTTTCTCACGGAAGTGCTGATGCATGGTGCCTCGTATTTCGAACTCGGATCTTTCCATGTGTTTTTCGCGGGTGGATCGCTAAATCTCGTTTTCGCAAGATTCATCGCTTTCTGGCAAGCGTCTTGCTCTAGATCGCCTTCAAAAAATCGACACATTTCTCTTACAGGTAGAGCCCTGGCGCCTCGGTTGAGATCATGAAGAGACCGGGCGCGTTGTTTGCCCTTGGGACTGGGCTTGCAAGATGTTCGACCAAGATCTTCCGTGCTTCTGGCCAGGCGACCGCCTAATCTCGAAAGAGATTCAAATAAAGTCAGCTTCTCCCGCACCGGCACGTATTTGTCTACCCTCTGACATCGCTCCAAAAGTTTGGCAACATCCTCTTCGCAAGGTGGTACCGTTAAGGCCGATGGAGAACTCGGGGATGCAATTGCCGGGCAATCCATGGATTTTTGGCAAGGCTGCGACAATTGACGGGGAATGGGAATTCTGGAAGACAGGAGAGCCAGCCGCTCTTTCCGTTCCCGAAGAGTTTCCACGTTAGCGATGGTGATACCGGTCATCAATTGCTGGACCTGCGGTAGCTGCGCCTTGTCACGAATGATTCTTCTCTCTCTGGCTCTACTTCTCCTTTCATTGATGTCCGGCCTGAGTATTCCAGGACTGTTGTTTCCACTTCTAGAACTATTATTGTTCCGTTTATCGTCCTCGTTTCGATAATTTTCCTCAGTAAACCTCACTGTGGAGATCTCGTTCGGTTTGAGCGGAGGTAATCGATCGATAATCGAATTCTCGTTTTGCTTTCGTATGTCGGTCGATGTAAGAAGTTCCTTTTTAAGCGAACGGGTCGGATGAGCATCATCGTTATCGTTGACAGAACAAATCCTACTTCTGGTTCTACCGTAGATCTTCGGCAAGTTGTTGTTGTTTTCCTCGGCTCTTGCTTTCCGCCTCGCATCCTCTTCAAGGACTCGTCGACTTCTCGCTTCGTTTTCGCGTCTGCGCGCCTCTTTGTATCTCTGTATCCTCTGTTCTCTTGTTTCTGGTTCCGGTAAAGGGACGCTGCGGGAGTCCACTGTATCGCTCGACCGGCATATGCCACCCCAAGGGAGACTGTCGTCGCTACCCTCGCTGCTTTCGCTGCAACCCCACGCTCTACTGACCGGTTGGTCCTTGTTGCTTATCACAGTGGGTATGCTTCGAAATTCTCCCAACAGGTCTTCGTCGCTCGAGTTACTACTGGACCAACCGCGTAATTCACTCCTTGCCCTCCTCCTGGAATCGTCAAGGATCGTCGTCGTGCACAACGCCATCTTCTCCGTCGGTGAATCGCTTGGCCAGCAACGTAATTCACTGCGAGATCGCCTTCTCGTCTCCGTCGGACTGTCTGGCAATGGAACCGGACCTCTCGGACAAATGGTCAATATCTCCAGGAAGTTCAAGCATCGTTGAGCGCGAAACGGCGTTTGTCGGACTAATTCGGCCGCAATCGCTCTGACCCAAGACCAATAGATCGGTTCCGTGTCAGCCTGAAAAAATAAATGATTGACATGCTCTATTTAAACAATTGTATAATTAAATATTTGAAATAATTAATAAGATAGTATTTTTTAAACATTGAAAAATAGTCAAATATAAGTAAAGAAGAGCCAAACTTAATATATGATCAAAACTAATTTGGCGCATAATAATATTTATAAATATGTAAATTTTAAATACATCTTTCAATTATTTAAATTGCACATTGATTATTAACAATCATTAACGAACTTAACAATCATTTAATTATGATTAAGTTCTATTCTTCTTAGCTAAACTTTTTGCATGATTTATCTTTCCCTTTTTCCTTTTCACATTGAAAAAAGAAGAAAAAAAGATGAACTGTGTGTGAGTGCAAGAAATTCAGCTAAAAAAGAACAAATCTATCTTATTATTTCAATTTTAATTTACGATTGATTTTCAAATCTGATTAATCGGCGTTTAATTTAAATAAATAAAAGTTGTATTTAAAATTTATATATATAAATAATATTAAACTAGATTTATAAATATTCATTATATTTGATTCTTCTTTTGTTATTTGATTTATTATTCATATAAATCTAAAGTAATAAATCTCTGTCATTTTAGCTTATCAATAAAAATTAAAATAAAATTGAAAATTATTCTTTTTAAATTATGTAAAAAATATATAGTTCAAAAATACGTTTTTTTAAAATAAATGTTGCAATTTTCTTAAAATATTTTAATATTATAAATCACATATTATAAATCACTATTGCTTATGTCATATAGTTATGATGCACAAAAAGATATATATGAAATTGTTTTAAAGAAAGCTTGGCTTTTGAAAAAGTTATATGGCAATTAAAATTAATATCAAGACAATTAAAAATTAAATTGACTGATAATTCCGATAACAAAGTTTTTATAGTAGTAAGTAGGTAAAGTGGTTTAACATTATAGGCGAGAATGTAGGACCAGCAAAACATTGCCGATGATTATGAACATTCGGATTTCATATTCTCATACGGTAGATCTGGATGCTGCGTGGAGTAGTCGAACGAGTCTGTCTACCCGCAGAATCGACCGTGACACACGATTTCGCTGACCAGCGCGGCGATTCGAAAGTCGCCGGTTCGCTCGAGTGCACGAACGATGGACTCCGACAACGTGGAATTTGCTCGTTAACCACCGGCGGCGTGTCGATCATTACCATCCTCGACGGGAACAAATCTCTCTGTCGCCTTGCTTGCCGAGGCCGGCCTTCGTACGTCAAGCGGCGCGTTCGACGACACTGGCCGATATCAGGCCTGTCTGGAAAAAAGCCGACAGGTTTGCCCGTTCGTTGTCTATCTCGAGGACAACATGGAAAACCTGCTTTCGATCGAAAACCATGACGCAGCATCGAGCTATGAACAAACGACAAGAGAAATACCGCGGCAAAATGGCACGAGAGTTCGGCCGTGTACTTGTATTCCTAGACAATGATGCTCATCGATCCGCAATTCTAATCGCGGCACACGATCATCAATGGGCGTTCGCGTAATCACTGCAATTACCTCAATTAGCATCGTTAAATCGACTCAGCGTGAAAACGTCGGAACGTCCTATTACAATATTGAAGGATTCGTCCGATTGACTGGCCATGCGCTGGTAGATAATCATCCTTGGAACGAGTCCAAGGAGGTGAGGAACTTCTCCTCGGATACGAGAGCGCGCGATGGTGGGATTCCTTGACAATGGCAGGTCATGGGAGAACGGTACAATAATCTCCCACGCATTTATCATAGCAAGCGAATCGGCAAACTGGGTATGTTGACCTTGCCTACTGGCCTTATTAAGATCTCGCGATTCGACGGGTGGGTAGTCTGTGTTACATCACAGAGCCGTCGTTCCTCCTCCGCCACCTGGACATCCGCGGCCTTCGCAAGGATACCTCATACATGTTGTTTAAGCTGGTGTTTCGAATGCATTATACTACAATCACGTGCCAAAGCGTCTTCGTTGAAGGTCGGTTGAACGAGCGCACGTCTCATCGGTTTAGATCGTCGCGTACGTAAGAGGGCTTCTAATTGGATTATTTCGTAAGTAGAGAGAAAAAAAAGCGAAGTGAAAATCCGATGCTACGCTAGGGCGAAACACGTATAAAACGAGACTCTTCGCACGATCTGAAAGTGGCCGGAGATCAACGGTGACTTCTATGCAAAAAGGAGAAATCTGCGTATGGATTTGAATTTTGGGTGATATTCTAAAGATCAGAGCTGTCGTAGATTCGCACGGTCTCGCTTGCTTGCTCGCTCGCTTGCTCACAGGAATTGTATAACGCGTTAGAAATCGAATGGCGACGCTAGCGGGTCCGTAATTAGAAGTTGCAGCGTTCAGCGAAACGGGAGCCGGCGTGGCTCGCCCGGCGCACGTGAAAGTGTTTACGGCTGAGGAAACGGATCGTGCCGGAGATAAAGGCCATTTACATGCAATTACATTGCATGGTACGGTCTCCGCACCAAAGGAATATTATTCCTTCTCTGGCCTCTCCTCCTGTCTTCGTCCGCGCTTCTGTCGTGCCTTACAGTCGCCGCCGACCGAGGAACGCGAGAATGGCCGATTCTGTCTTGTGGAACCATGCCAAATTGCGAACGCTTTCGGCTCTCACGAAAGCCTCTCTAGCTTGAAATACGCCGTTGCGCTGGTCAGGGATCAAGAGTAATCGGGAAATTCCTTTCCAATTGACTACAAATCGATTTCTCTTACGAAATCTTATGATTCGTGAAATTGGTAAATTGATGTTTGTCGATCTATAAAAGATAGAAAGAGAAATTGTGAAAAAGCTTTAATTAGCAGCAATAATAATTATCCAAAAGAGTGACTTTGAAAGAATCACTCAATGCTGATTCCAAAGAAAGCTGTCAAGTAGATTTATGTGTTTTGATACTTTGTACAAGATATTCGGCATCATTGTCCGATAAGTAATTATCGGATACGCTGAGGTATATTTGTTTTGAAACCGATTATGATAATAGCTAGAATGCTGGCTGAAACCGTATATTAGAACTCGAACAATATCCGAGATTAGTCGCCTCAGAATTTATGGATCTAGTTTTATTAAAATTCAAATATAGATTTCAATCGCTGCGTAATGGAAGAAATTTATTTTTCATCATTTGAAATGTTTTAATCGTTCTGTATTTCATATTGTTTTAATATTTATGATATTTCGTTATTAGAATATTCAGAAACTGTGCATTATGAATAATGAATACTAACGTTCCTATTTTGTTAATTTTTTTTTTCAAAAAATTGGATGAAACAAATTGATAAATTAATATCAATATAAAAGATAGAAAAAATTACGAAAAAGCTTTAATTAGTGATGATAATTACCCAAAAGGTGGCGAGCGAACGACTCTCTGAATCGCTCAAGGTAAAACCGAGAGCAAATGTGTGAGGTTGACAGAGGCTCGGTGGTGCCTGACGAAGATTTAATGCTCTCAATGGTAACCTCATCGGAGTACCTTCGACCCATAGCCAGCCCATCCTGATGGAAACTGTTCTTCTTTCGCTGAGATCTTCCACATATAGCTCGCCTGAAATCCAAATTGCAAAAACGCAAGGATCAATTCGCTATTCAGTAACAATTGAATCAATTAATTCGTAGTGATTAAATCTCGATGCCGTTTAGAAATTCTTCGACGATGAACTTTTAGTTTCATCGCGTTCAATAGCGTACGCCATAAATGGCAGTGGCGCTATTAATATTCGAGCCGTAGTTTCAATATTAAGTCAAAGGAGAATTGATGATTCACACATTTATATCGCGAATGCTCATAATGAGTAACGGAAGAAATTTCGCATTACGAACAATCGATTATAATTGCAATATGATTTTTCAGAAATATCTACACAAAGAGAGCGGTTTTAATGAAGTGACTAAAAATTTAGTCAGATATAGATCTGAAAATAATTTTGTTGAACTATTCAAATAATTATGGAAAACGCTCAAGCTGGTTGCTAGAATATTAAAACATCTCAGTATTGCTTAACATGTTTGAATTTCCTAAATAAGTATTTTGATGGTCCAACAAAATTATTTTCTGATCAGTATCTATCGAAATTTTTAGATATGCCAATAAGATCATTCTTTCTGTGTAAAAATTTAATCTAGAATCTAGGACAAGCGTGATGAACAATATTGGAAAGTTTTGAAATTCTCAAAACTTTTTACAATACTGTTCATGATGCTTAAATGTTCTACATTCTAACAACCAGATTGAGCATGTTATACATAATTATTTTAATAAGCCAACAAAATTATTTTCAGTTTTTATAGCTAATTAAATCTTTATATTAGGTGTGGGAAAAAGTTCGTGGCGTTTTTTAATGCCTAACGGGAAAAACGCCACAAACTTATTCCCACATCTAATATTTCAACAAAATCATTCTTTTTTTATAGAATAAGCGCAAAAGAAATAAAAACCGCTATATTTTATTGACGATAATTGTGTTTATCAATTTTACAAATATTTTCTTTAATTAATAATTATTAAAATATCGAAAGACTAAAATACAATCGACCGAATGCTTGGAATTCTTCTGATTAATAGTAATAAATAGCAATCAAAATCACGCGAGGCAAAATCGCATGTTCGCGCGAAATCGATTCTTACAATTTCTCAGCTCGCGATTTCACATTGTCCCGAATTAGCCGATAGCTTTCGACGTAATCGAGGCCCCGCGTCATTTCGTGCCAAACCGACAGATATTTCATTATCCGGTTCGGCGACTGCTCCGTAAAAGGAGTACGTCACGAACATTCGTTACGGTCATGATTTACGACATAAATTCATTTTCCACTTTAGTGTAAAAAGAAAGAAGAAAGAATTTGCGGGGGAAGATGATGATAAGGGCAACGAATCGAGAGATTGACGTCATCCGATCGAAAGACGTGGGCGATGAGCGTGGTATTATTGGTACCCTATGGTTATTTCTCGTTCATCTTGATTCCGACTAAACGATTATTGACCGAAAGCAGCGTTAAACACGCCTACGTTTCTCAACGTAGCACTCAAGCGACTATTTTCGCTAGAGTCTGGAATGGAAATAGATCCTGCTGCGACGTCTTCCTGCGGTGCGGTGGCTGAATACTTGTCACCCTCATCTAATCTCACAACGTCTGCGAAACATTCTGAACCCGCCGCCAGCTGTTGTAACAGCAATTTGCAACCTTCATTCGCAAATGAAAACATTTTCCTGCTCTCGTCGGCAATATTAAATTACGGAAAAATTACTCTTTCAACAATCCATTTATTCTGTATAAAAGTGTAATTTCTGAAATTAATGTTTTAATTAACTATTGTTGAATTTCTTGATGGATTTGATGGCGTCGAATAATCATACTAAGCCAAATATTTTCCAAAAGTTATCAACAATGTTTGAAAGACATTTATAAAGAAATTGAAAAAAAATACGCATTATCGGAAAAATACGATCGATAAGATGCCTGAAATTCTTCTGATTAATAGTATAAATAATGCTGTAAGATTCTTTACCTGCATTTTTTCTTCACGTGAATAAATGTCGTTGAACGTGACGACGAATAAAGTAACGACACACCCTTTGACTAAAAATATTTCTTTTCGTCAGGAAAATGACTCGCCCAAACAATCTCGTCGATTAACCCTTTGTTCCCTATCGAATATTAGGTAACTCTACTTATTTCGCTTTCTTGCGTTGTCGCCATTATTACGGCAGACAACAATGGAGAGTCTAATTAGTCTCAAACAACTTAAGGAAAATTAGTCTCAACAATTACCATAGGTACAAAAGAGTCGAATACATTTGTCGTAATAGTGTGCGTTCAGCTTAAAATTTGTACAATATTTGCACGACCTCGGTCATGATAATCTATAAGCTAGCAAAATTTCATAATGTTCTGCGTTCTGCATTGGACAGCTAGAAAACAACGTATATGAATCCCATATCTCTCGAATGCTGAATAAAATCTCGCGGGAAAGCGCTGTTTTCTTGGAACAAAATTTGCATCAAGATTATAATTATTCCATCAGTAAAATGATTTGATGATGTACGATAATATCGCAATTGCTAGAATCTGTACAGTGATGTACTTACCTAACTGGCAGGGTTATTTTCTCATTTTCTGATTACATCAATAAACGAGGAATAGGCCGAAACGATTTTCAAATTAATTTTGTAACATTTCGTATCAATTATACGATATTATATATATAGTGTAGACCATATTATAACTGCATTGCAATGTTCCAGCAATATTGTATAAATATCTCCTATTATTTCTCTACTATAAATTGCGAGAATTGTCTTCATAATTTTCATAAAAGGAGTTTAGTATCATAAGCATAAAATCTTATAATAATACTGCAAATGTTGCAGCAATTTTACTGTAAATTTGTACTACATAGGCAGATATTAAATCGCTTCTACAAAAATTATGAAAACAATTCGTGCGATTTATAATAAATAATCAGTAAGAGATATTCATGCTATTGTTACAGATCATATGTTATTTTCCATTATAATTTTTTTTTTATGAATTTTTAATTCCAATCGACTTTCACTTAGTCCGAGATTATCACTAAAAACTATAAAGATGAATGGAGTCAAATTATGTCTGATTTCGCGGATTGTATGAATGTTACAAATGATGTGATATTTTCTTTAACCGTATAATGATTTTCACGCCAGTCATAGTGAGTCACCATAAATTCATGGTCATTCTATTTGTCTATGCCGACAAAGCTCTCTATGCGTGAGATTTTTCCACGAACGCGTTACAAAGTACTGACTCATCAGCAACTCCTCTGCAAAGTAGACGCTTCAATTTTTTTTTAAAAGCAGCCAAGCGTATCGATTGCGCCAACAATTATTATCATTTGAAAATGTTAATTACTCTAATTGCGGAAGAGGTCATAAAGTTTCTACTAAAACTCGTACGATGCTCTATAATCGAAACGAGGTTTCGAAAGATACATCGTTAATTCATCTCGAAAATTTTATAATATGCGAATGTTTGAAGAACAACAATCAACAAACAACAGATGTTTCATCAGTTTACAGTGTCGGAACATCTGTTTAGGTTTCCTCTCTATAAACCTTTGGTTTTCTGGTCGAAAAAGTACATTCTTGGAAAGCTGTTGAGCCGAACACCCTTGAGAGTCGAAGACTCTCCGAAAGAAGATAGTCCGATGTCTGCTCTCACGGTCCATTAAGCTCCAGAAAGTGAGCGTGTTGCCTTCATACGTGTGAATGAGCCATAAATAAAGCGGTCGTTTCTAAACCCGCATCTTTGCTCTGAAAGCTTCTCGGACAAACGTATCGAGCTATTACTTAGGACATGCCGCGAAAGTCTTTGCATTAAATTTAAAGCCATCGCGCCGGTTTAATTTCTTCGCTAACGAGAAATATACCGCTTCAACGATTTCTCCTACATTCATTTATTATCAATGTACTGTAAAATAGGAACAAGAGTTACGGTTTCTAACAAGTGACGTAAGGAAATATATATATGGAAGTACACTTTATTGTACTTTATGGGAATATCTATGGCAAAACGCAACAAGTAGACGAAACTAATTTGGACCGCATTTCTCATGCGTGCATGAGCTCTTATCTTGGTGTTATGAGCAGAAAAAAAGGAAAGTCGAGCGACACTCTGCCGTGCAATTGTTGAAGAACAATGACGCGTCGTACTGTATTGCAACTCTCTCTTTCCGTAGAAAAGCAACGTGCCTGGGTAAATACTGAAGAAATATGCGACTACCTGTATGCATAACTTTCGCAGATTAACCCTAGCATTACTACAATCAAGCGTTTTGTTCCTGAAAAATATTGTACACGAGAAAATACTATAGAATATTCGCACAGATAGAATGATTTTACAGAAATACTTAAAAATTTAGATAAACATTGAAAGATGTGAAAATAATTTTATTACACCACATCAAAATAATTACATTTAAGAATCTCAAAAGTGTTGACATTCTAGCAACTAATTTGAATGTCGTATATAGGAATAGAACGGGGCTTTTTCATCCATTTCTCACAATAATGTTTATGTTTCTGAACAGCACATGTTGATTATTTGTGCTGTGTTCTCAAGGAATAATTATGATTATATAATGTAACTATGTACGTCACTGAAAAGAGATATTGTTTGCCATCATGAATTTTTGTATTATTTTAAAATTGAAACTGATGGAATAGCCTGCTCTAACCCTTATTATTGAGCTAACAAAATTATTTCAGATCTAATACTTAGCTAAATTTTTAGATATCTAAGCAAAACTGTTTTTTTCCACTAAACACAAACTAATTATAATATTACATCAATATTATAATTTTCCATTCAATAATATAGATGTAATATAATGCATGTTGTACATAACAGTTATATTGTTGAGTAAAAAATTATAACATTGATGTAATGTTACTGTTTGTGTCCGATGAGATATGTATTTACGGATTTTCGTATACAATATACATAAAGATTAAATATTTCTTTTGATTTTTATATCAACATTTTTAATTTTTTCTAAATTTTAGCAGCTTT